TCTGAAAAGACTGGCAGTGTAGCTGCCCCACAATGAAATTATATATAGCACAGATAAGGAAGAAGAGGAGGAGGAGGAGGAGGAGAAGAAGAAGATGATGACAACAACAACGACCACTCCCAAGGTGCCTGGGTGGCTCATTCCGTTAAGCATCCACTTCATCTCAGGTCATGATCTCATAGTTTGTGGGTTCAAGCCCTGCATTGGACTCTGTGCTGATGGCTCATGGAACCTGCTTCAGATTCTATGTCTCCCTCTCTCTCTGCCCCTCCCTGCTCATGCTCTGTCTATCCGTCTCCAATAAACAAACACACAAACATTAAAAAAAGAAAGAAAGAAAAGAAACTTCCAGAAGAAGACGTAATAGAAAACCTTAGTGACTTTGACTTTGGCAAAGATTTATTAAATAGGATACAAAAAGGCATGAAATTTCAAGGAAGAAAATCAATGAATAGGACCTCATCAAATTTAAAACTTTTGCTCCTAAAAATGAAATACAATGAAAGGCACAAACTGGGAGAAAATATTTGCAAAACATATATCCAACAAATGACCTGTATCCCATGCTATAATGAAGTCCTGCAACTCAAGTAGAAGACAAATGACCCAATAAAAAATAGGCAAAACATCTGAATGGACACTTCACCAAAGAATATATGCATATGGCTAATAGTGCAAGAAATGACATTCAATATCATCAAACATAAGAAAAATGCAAAGTAAACAAGACACCACCCTACAGCCACTAGGATGGCTAATTTTCAAATCAAAGGACTATACCAAATGTGGGCAGTATGTCTAGCAACAGTAGCTGTCACATCTGCTGGGGGGTGCAAAGTAGTAAAAACACTTTGACAAGACGTTGGTAGTTTCTTGAAAAGTTAAACATATCTATGATACCACCCAGCCAACCCACTCTAGAAGTAAACCAGAGAGAAGTGAAACATAGGTCTACACAAAGATTTGTACATAAATGTTTATAGCAGTTTTAGTTGCAGTAGCCAAAATCTGGCAACCCGATGTCCATTAACAGGTAAACAGATAAACAAGTTGTGGTATATTCTTACAATGAAATACTACCCAACAGTAAGAAAAACGCCAAACTATTGTTATATGCAGCAATAAGGATAAAAATCAAAATAATTATGCTGAGTAAAGAAAAGTGAGACCCACCCATCCCCGCAAATATCTACTTTGGGATTCCATTTATATCGAATCAGATATACAGGAAATGCAAAACAAGCTAAAGTGACCGAAAACAGATCAATCACCAGCAACAGCAGGGGATGCATTTAGGGCTAATAGATATGTTCATTATCTTGATTGTGGTGATGGTTTCACAGGTATATATTTATGTTGAAATTTTCATCAAATTGTACACTTAAAATATGTGCAATTCAAACCTCAATAAAGCCATAACAAAAGAAAAACAGCAGTAAAATATTTTTAAAAATGTATTATCAGGCTTATACTGTATTTTCCCCTAAGAAATTTCCATTCCTCTTCTCTGAACATGACATTTCTCAGTATCCCCTAAACTGTGCACATCAACTAGGTTGAGGAGAAACTGATAGTTAATGAAATAATAGAAAATGATAGTTAATAAAATAAGGTTTAGACAATAGAAATTAAAATTTATTTTGAAGACTGTTCTTTGTAACCATCTCTCTGGTATCAAATTGTTTATTAATTTGTTGGGTTGAATCAAAAAAGACTATACAGGATTATTTTTGTAATTTTTAAACTTAAACAACGGATAAATTCATGCACTGAAAATAGAGTTTTATTAATATCTGCAACTTATGTCACAAAGGGTTAACATAACAGCATTTATAAAACCAGGGGGAAGAGACCACCAACTAGGAAAAGAAGCAAGTTCACAGACAAAGTGAAAATGACGCTTCAATATATGAAAAGATGCTTCACTCCACTGACAAAAAGATGTAAAAGGAAATCACACTGAGATGCCATTTCTTCTCAGGTTGGCAAAATTCCAAATATTTGACAAAATACTTGGTTTACAAGGTTGTGAGGACACATCACAGTGGGAATGCAACATGGTGCAACCCTAAAAAAGGTAACTGGGCAACATACAGCAAAAACGAATTACAGATGCCTGCTGACCAAGCAATTTCTAGGAATCTAACCCCAAATTAAAATGGCATAACTATACAAATATCTGCATAAGACTATTCACTGTAGCACTAATTTTAATAGGAAAAGACAGGAAACAACCCACATGTCCAGTAATAACTGACTAGTTGAATACTCTATGGTACATTCACAAAAGAAGGGAGTTACAGCTGCAAAAAGGAATAAGGAATATCCCTAGATACTGCAAATGAGAGGTCTCCAGGTCTCTGGGATACTGTTAAGTGCAAAAGCCAAAGTGCAGAACAGTAGGTACAGGGGGCAGCTGGGTGGATCAGTTGGTTAAGCATCTGACTTCATCTCAGGTCATGATCTTACAGTTCATGAGTTTGAGCCCAGTGTTGGGCTGTCTGCTGTCAGCACAGAGCCTGATTTGGATCTTCTGTCCCCCTGTTTTTCTCCCCCTCTCCCACTTGCAGTTTCTCTCAAAATAAATAAATAAACTTAAAAAAAAAAAAAAAAAAAAAAAAGCTTACCGATAGGGAGAAGAAGGTAACCCGTTGGTGGGGACAGGGAGAGAAGCCTGACTTCTCTGAATGTACTGTTCTGTGGACTTGACTTTGGAGCCATATAAATGTTTTACATAATGATAAAACAAAATTTATATAAAACCTGAAAATTTAGGGCTCAGTCAGTAGAGTATGCACCTCTTGATATCGGAGTTGTGGGTTCAAGCCCCAGGTTGGGTGTAGAGACTGCTTAAAAATAAAATCTAAAAAAAAAAAAAAATATTTTTAAAGACCTGAGGGGTGCCTGGTGGCTCAGTCAGTTAAGCATTTTGATTTTGGCTCAGGTCAAGATCTCACTATTCGTGACATTGAGCCCCATATCGGGTTCTCCGCTCACAGTGCAGAGCCTGCTTGGGATTCTCTCTCTCCCTCTTTCTCTGCCCTTCCCCCAATGGTGCTCTCTCTCAATCTCTCTCTCAAAATGAATAAACATTTTTTTAAAACCTGAAAAACTTAACCCTAAAAAGCATAAGCAACATGAAACCAATGAACCAGTATATAGAGTCTGAACCCCACAGAAACAGATTATTTTCATTTACTTTAAAGTTTTTTATATACTTTTAAGAGAGAGATAGAATACGAGTGGGGGAAAGGCAGAGAGAGAGGGAGACACAGAATTCAAAGCAGGCTCCAGGCTCTGAGCTGTCAGCACAGAGCCCAATGGGAGACTCAAAACCCACGAACTGTTAGATCATGACCTGAGCCAAAGTCGGACACTTAATTAACTGAGCCACCCAGGCGGCTCTTAATTTACTGAAAAGCATGGGATATATCCTAACAACAGAAAACAACTGCAAAAGAATGTTACAATTTTCAATAATCATACTGTTAGTAATATTGGCATTGTTATTCTCACATAATTATATATAAATAATAAAGTAAATCATTGTGTTAAGATAATCAGGATCCAAGACTTTTTTTTTTTAATCTGAGAGATGGAAAATGCACGTGCAAGTTGGGGAGAGGCACAGAGGGAGAGGCAGACTGAATCTTAAACAGACTCCTGCTTAAGGCTGAACCTGACATGGGGCTGGATCTCACCACCCTGGGATCATGACCTGAGCTGAAACCAAGAAGTCCTATGTTCAACGGACTGAGCCACCTAGACACCCCCCAAGATTTTTAATATGAGGGAAAAAGGGATACAAACATAAAACTTAAAAAGTTAATAGCCACCTAGTCCTAAATTTGAAATGTCACTGTAATCTCATGATGTATTTTTACATAAAAAAAATGTTTCCTAGAGTTGATGATAATAAAGGATAATCATTACATTTACAGGTGATAATAGCTTTGTAATTACGTTTTTAGGGGCCCTTACCTTTTAGACAAATATGGGAATAATTATTAAATAAAATGACCTCCTCTATGGCATTGAGGAAGGAAATAACTAGATAGAGAAACAGGTGAAGAGACTGGCTGTTTCAACTGCTTGATGGACACGTGGGGTTCATTACACTACTTTGTCTACCTTTCTGTATCTTTGAAGGTTTCTATAATAAGAGGCTAAAAGGAAAAAGGCAAGAAGAAACGGCGTCCCAGTAGAGGGGCTCTCTGTCCCCCCCTCCTGCTTAATTTCTCTTCCCATCGCTGACTGAAGTCCCGGAGTCATACTCCCAATCCAGGGTCGCCTATCAGAAAAGATGAGATGGCCAGCTCTTCCTCCTGCTTCCCAACTGGTCCTCCAAGAAAGCCCTAACCTTTCTAGTTATTCTAGAACACGCCTAATCATTCTAGTCGTGGCTGTCTCAGCCTTCTCTCCCCGGGGATGCTACAGCACCGTCCACCACCCTCCCGGACGCAGGCTTCACCTTCCCCCCGTGAACAACAGTGCGGGTGGTTGAGGAGGCAGTCACTGTCACACGTGACGACCACCTCTAGGTTCTTGCCGGGTCCCAGGTCACAGCACCGAGGAGGCACGTTCCGAAGTGGCATCCGGCTAGGAGCGGAAAAGGAACCAGTCTGGACACAAGTCCGAAACTCCACTCAAGAAGAACCAGGTTGGCAGTGGGTCCGATGCTCGGAAGGGTCACTAGAAGTTACCGCAGGATCGCCGGAAGTACGGTAACTGCGAGGCCGGAGCGCAGCGTGTCCTCTCTAGGCGCGCCGGAGGTCTCACCTCTCGGTGGCTCGGGAGGAAGCGGTATCACTGTCAGTCAGGAAAATGGCGCCGGCGGGGAAGGCGGGGACGATTGGGAGGTGTCGCGCTCAAGGACTGGTGACCGGGGGCGTGGGCGGGGAATGAGGAGGCGGGGCCCCCAGGGATTGGCGGGTGCGCAGACGAGGCGGGGCGACCCCTTTGTCTGAGTGCGTTGCGGGCGTCCGTCCCTTCGCGCGTGAGGCTGCGGCGTGGAAGGTGAGTTGGCGGTGCGCGTGGGCACTGGCGGGCCGGGCCTCTCTGCCAGCACGCAAGGTGGAGCCAGGTGATCCTCACGGACAGGGCGCTTCCCCGCGGGCACGCTCCGCTTCCGCCCCTCATGCCGGGTTCCTCCTCTTGTGGGCGCGCAGTGGGCTCCTTACCCTCCTCGCAGCCCACTCTGAGCCCCCACTCCCCCGGCCCTTTGCCACACCCCAATCCTCCCTCCGCTCCCCGCACCCAGGCCTCTGCTGACCCCTACCCCTCGGCCCCTGCCACGCCCCAGAGCCCCTCCCCTTAACACACACCACAGTCTCCCTGCGACCCTGTGTCCCGGCCCTCAGTCCTCCGGCCCTGCCACGCCCGGAATCCCCTCCCCCAGGTCCTGAGACGCCTCCCCCTCCCCCCCCGTCCCCGACCCTCCCGGGGCCCCTCCCCCGCGGACGGCGAGCTCTGGCCGGAGGTGGAGGGATTGCCCCGGGGAGGGGGGTCAGCGACCCGCGAGTCCCTGGCTCGCTCAAGGGCTCCCCAAAATACAGAACCAGAGGCTGAGAAGCCCAACCGGACCCCGCAGCGGCCGGAGCGCCTGTGCAGCTCGCAGTAAGCCGTTTCTCCGCCTCCGAGCGGCGTTGGTATCTCGTTGGCTAGAAGTACTTTCCTAATTTTACATCCTTTCCCCATGTTTCTGTTCACGCTCTTTCCCCTATTACCTTATAAGAGCCCGTTTTTAATGAAGGAGACCCAGCTTTTCTAACATGGTTTGCAAATATTTCCCTAGTTTATTATGTGCTTTTTAAGATTTCAATGGAAAGTAACATGCACTTTTAAAAATGTAAACGCTTGAGAAAAATATAAAAACTGGAAGTCCTCGTTGGGAACAGCCTTCCAGTGTGCGCAGAGGCCGCACTGGCTGGTTTCCTTTGTACCCTTTTCTGGATTTTGCGTGTGCTGTTTTCGGTTATGAACCTAAAAGGGAAGCTCGGGGGCATGGGGGTAGCCATGCTCTACCGGTCGATACTTAGATTTTTCACTTGCAAACTGTCTTCGTGGCGGTGCGTTCCGTCGGTTTTGTACACCCGGTGTGTGTAGGGTGGACTTGGACTCGGAGGCGGAGTGAGAGGGAGGTGGGGGCCTTAGGATCACCCTCCACGCATTGTTGTCACATGAATGTTTTAATTTCCGTTCCCCGATGATTGGTGAGGTTGAAACTGTTCGTGTGCCTTTGTATTTCCTTTTTTGTTTTCCTTTGTATTTCTTTTGTGATCTGCCAGCTCATACTCTTTTCCCTTTATGTTGAAAATATTCTTCACAAATTGACATTTGACTCCATTTATGGTCCTTTGTTCTGGGTTTTTTAAAAGATATTTCATGGGGCGCCTGGGTGGTTTAGTCGGTTAAGCGTCCGACTTTCGCTTAGGTCATGATCTCGCGGTTCGTGGGTTCGGGCCCCGCGTCGGGCTCTGTGCTGACTGCCAGATCGGAGCCTGGAGCCTATTTCAGAATCTGTGTCTCCCTCTCTCTGACCCTCCCCTGCTCACGCTGTCTCTCTCTCTCTCCTAGAAATAAATAAAACATTAAAAAAAAAAATTTTAAAGAGATTTCAAGTTTTTAATCATAAAATATTTACTCCGAAGACTTTTGAGCTTTGTTATGTCTTAAAGGACTTTCCCCACACCAAGATAATTTTTAAAATAAACTCTTGTTTTTCTCTGGTACTTGTGCAGTGTTGGATACATCTGGAATTTATTTTGGTGTGGGGTGAGTTGGGAATCCAGCTTCATTTTTTTCCCTCTTTGCTATTTCTAACACTACCTATTGAATAATTCATCTTTCCATTGATTTGGAAAACCAACTTTGTCATGCATTAAATTCTTACATGTCTTTGGGCCCCTTCTGGAATTTGGTGGCTTTGATGTGCATAAGGTATTAATTTTCATCCAGCAAATGTGGGAGTCTCTGCCTGCAGATTTCTGCTTTTGGTATTTTGCTTAGAAAGGCCCTTCCCACCTAAAACAATATAAATATATCTGTATTTGTATTCAAGTTCTTTTTATAAAATGTAACTTAAATTTTTAAATCTTATTCATTTCATTAGCCTGGTGGATTCATTAGACTGAGATGATCTAAGTTTTTTCTGGCCAAATTTGTTTGTTTGTTTTAATCTCTTTGCCATCCTCTACTTTCTGGGAGATTTTGTTGAACTGTATGTAAAGGCGTAATTTTACTTTTCCTAAAGCATTTAACTTATCCTTGCACCATTTATTGAATCATCTTTCCTCAACAATTTGAATTGCCTCCTCTGTTCTCCATTTGTTCATGCAGACTTGGCCCTGCTGTTGTGGAAGCCACTGCTTTTCCCCCAGGCCCACTTGGCTCAAGGCACCTTGGTTTTGTGGATACAGTGGGCAGAATTAACATCACATTTCTAAAGTTTATTTTAAGCTTGTTTCTTTTTGTCATTTGTGAACAGAATTTTTTCTCCTGTATGTTTTCTGACCAGGTGTTGCTGGTGTGTAAGAAAGCTGTTGGTTTGGATGCGGGATCGTTCACTATGGAAGATTGCAGGCGTGTGCTTTGTGTTCCCAAGTGGCTCCGAGCTGCCTTTTTTGAAGATGCTTCCCCCATGGAGGGTGGGGCTCTGTGGAGATGAAGAGGGGCAGGGCCTTCCATCAGAAAAGCCTGTGGGTGAGGATGGTGAGGACAGAGGGAGGAAGATCCTGGGAGCTGTCACCCAGACCAGGCGCTGCCGGTGTTCCCATGCTAGCCTGTCACTGGTGCGAGGTCTTTGGAGCACAGGCTTGCTTGCCCTTTTACATCAAGCCTGTCAGGAATTCCAACAAGGGTGAAAAGTTTCTAAAGCTTAGCTTACAACACAAAATGGTAACAATAAACTTCAAACTCTAAGCTCTTTGCATCTCTGCAGTCCCTTATAGTTCCTGTCCGTTGCTGGCTGCTTGGTCATCATGAGAGATAGACTGTGTTTGGCAAAGCGTCTCTCTGCAGTGTGGCTTCTTTCCCATTAAGCATCCGCTGCTGCTGAGAACATTGATCTGTTCTGGTTTTGTTTGGGTTATTCCCTGAGTAGATTTCCAAAAATGAAATTCCTGCATCTTAAGAATGACTGTGATTGATGGATGGGTGTGCACTGGTGCAGGCACTCCCAGGGCTGTTGCTGTTTGTGCTTGCCCCTTCGTGGGGGTGGCATGGCCTTCCTCACCGTCTGTTAGGAGACTCAGCGATGGTGATTCCAGCTCTGGGGCCATCCGTTCTCCTTTCCTGTCTAAACTGCTATGTTTTTCTCACAGAGCAAAGTATGGAGGTGGACATCAGAATCATGGAGGTCAGGGTTGGGGAGAGGTGGCTCGTTAAAAACCAGTTTGGGTGCCCTGGATGGTTCTGTTTTCCTACCTGACAGTTGTTGGTTTTGAGGTCCACAATGTTTTGCATGTCTTTGCTTGAAATCACAGACTTGTTAAAAATTAGTATCACTTCTTGCGTTTTTTTTGTTCCTTTTTTTTTTTTATTAGAATACACTCATTTTATTTATTTATTTATTTTAATGTTTTATTTATTTCTGAAAGAGAGAGCATGAGCAGAGGAGGGTCAGAGAGAGAGGGAGATACAGAATCTGAAACAGGCTCCAGGCTCTGAGCTGTCAGCACAGAGCCCAACATGGGGCTCGAACCCACGAACTGTGAGATCATGACCCGAGCTGAAGTCGGACGCTTAACCGACTGAGCCACCCAGGCGCCCCAGGATACAGTCATTTTAGTTCCTTTGGGTTGCCGTAGCAAAATACTGTAGACTGGGTAGCCTGTAAAACCCTAGACATTTCTCAAAGTTCTGGAGGCTGAAAGTCCAAGATTAGGATGCCCGCATGGTCAGGGGAAGGCCCTCTTCAGGTGGCAGACTTCTTGCTGTGTCCTCACATGGTAGAAGGAGTGAGGAAGCCCTGGGAGTGTCTCTTCTTATGAGGGCGCTGATCTCATCCTGACTCCAGCTTTATGACCTAAGCATTTCTCCCAAGTCCTCCCCTCCTAACCCCGTCCTACTGGGCATTAGGGTTTCACCATAGGAATGTTGGAAGGACACAAATCTTCGGATCATAGTCAGAAAATGCTGTGTGATAGTATTGACACAGAACTATGTGATATGCTTTTTTTTTTTTTTTTTTTTAATTTGCTAATGTGTGAAGGTCATCCTAGGTAGAGCTCCTTTGTTTTTATTCTTTTCCAGGCCTCCCTCCAGGTAGGAATCTTTTCCTTTGCCCTCTCCACCCACCTCAATGGCCGACTCATGTTGACAGCCTGGTGTTTCTGAGTTAATCTAATTGAATGAGGTAACACTTAGTCCAGCGGCATCTGACTTTGCACCCAGTGGCCCTGAGCACTCTCCCCTCTTGAGGCCTGCAGAGGAGGGATGTGATCTGTTTTACAGGTGAGGACAGGGCACACATACAGCCTTCATGGCCCTGGAGTCATTGTTTCTGAAAGACAAGCATCTTGGACATGCTCTCTGTTCCCACGGTTTCATTTACCTGCTGTCTGTCTAGCACAGCCTAAATCTTTCTCTTAGTGGGTATATGACCTGTGTGTGGAAGGACTGTGGGTTGGCAGTGGCACCGTCCTTGAGCCTGGGTCTGTTCCAAGGGAGTGCCCACTGTCTGATGGCATATCTGGTTCATCTGCATAACTGCCAGGTGGCTTTTCTGAGACAGGGTTAAAGTATGGTGTCATTGCTTTTTTAATTTCATTCACTTACTTGGCAAACATTGGGCTGATGGCTGCTCTGCTGAGGCAGGAAGGGAGAGGGGAGGATGGGACAAAGCAGAGGCCCTTGAGGTAAGGGGTCAGGAAGGGCCTCAATGAGAGGGAGATGTGGCCAAGCACCAGCCAAAGGGCAGGAACTTCCCTGGCAAAGAGGAGGCCCCGGGCGGGGTTCTGAGCAGCCTCATAACAGCGGTGGAGGGGCCAGGAAGTTAGTTGAAGCCAAGGATAGTCACTGTTCACATACATGGGAGGCAGATAAACGAGCCTGCTGCAACAGAGCCAGGTTCTGGGTGCACTGGGAGGGTGGATTTGGAGTGGGTGTGAAAGAACGAGGAGGAAAGAGAGCTTCAGGATCAGGTCTTGGGTACAGGTGCCCAGACTGAGCTGGGGGCAGAAATAGAAGCCTAGTGTTACCTGTTAAGTGTCTGAGATAATCCCCATGAAGATGTTGAGTTGGAAGGAAGGGGATTGCCAGCTCAAATGCATCAAAAAGGAGACCCTAGGCTCTGCCGAACATTCAGGCTTGTAGGATAACCATGGCCAGTGCCAGGTATGTGCAGGATGTGGGGCTGGAAGGAGCACAGACACAGGACACAGGCAAGAGCAGGAGTTGGTCTGGCTTAAGGCCTTATGGCCACATGAGCCACATACCTCCTGGGTCATCTGTACCCACTGGGAAGGCCCTGAATGAGGTTCCTCTGGGTGTTTATTGTTGGATCCCGGCCTAGTTGCAGTGGGGCCATAGTGCAAATGACTACTTCTGCCAGGTTCCCACGGAACCAGAGCTGTGTTATACATGAACATCAAATGCTTACACAGATGAGGATGGCTAAAGGCCGTGGCTGAGGGAACAATGTCCAGGAGACCTAGGAGGACTGAGTTGCAGGAGTGCAAGATGACCAACTGTCACCCTGCCAACAGTGGGCAGGGATCTGACCACATGGAAGTCATAGGGCCACTTTGTGGTGGGGTGTGGGTATGGAGATCACTCATGGAGAGGCACCTGGACAAGGCCATGGGGAGTATGACTGACAGTGAAAGACGGCAGGTCTGTGAGCTGCTCAAGTGGATGTGGGTATTGGATACGCTGCCAAGAGGGCAGGAGGCAGAGCAGGTGGTGGCAGTGGCTTCCCCGTCTTTGTTCTGAGACCTGGTGAGGCAAGACCACCCTGCCTCACACCTGTTTTTTCAAATTCTATTCTTATCTATTCTCCAGCATCTGTTGTTCATATAAGTTCGAGGTAGTTTTACTCCTTTAAAAGGCTCCTCTTGGAATCCTAATTAGAGTTGCATTGACACAAACACACACAGATTTTGGGGGAATGGACATTCTTGGTGGATATGTCTACCATTGTGTCCCAGAGGCAGCTGCAGTTAGGAGTTCAGGGTTGTGTTCCCCAAAGTTTCCATGCAAACTCACACATACATCAGATGTTGTACAAAGAAATCAAACAAACAGATGAGGCACCCTGTTGTTGAGGTACCGGCTGAGCTCCATGCATGAGATGGTTGATCACCATCTTGTACCATTTTTCCTAGAGTGATCTGTCCACTGGACTTCTGTGTTCCTGTTGCAGACCCCCTTTGGCACTCCAAAAGATGTGAACCCCGTTTCCCCATTTGGAGAGCCTTTGGTCCCCCTTTGTCCACCCAGTAATTTGAACATGATAGACACCTCAGCTTAATTATCCTGATAAGTTCCCAGAACCTGCTCACCCCCAGGCCTCCCTGTCAGATGCTCAGACCAGATCCCTGGGTGGCTCTGGGCTTAATCCTCCACAATCAACCATTTGCCCTGCCTCGGTTCCCAGTCCCTGGTGGAGCCACTACCAGGTTGAAGGCCCCAGCCTCACTGGAGCATCAGGGCCACTGGGGCACAGCCAGATGAGACTGAGTCGTCAGTGGGCCCACAGGAGTTATGGGCACGCCAAGCATGCTGGACCTGGGTGAGGCCCCCACAGGAGTGTGGACCTTGAGGAAAGCCATCCATTCCCAGCCTGTCTTCACTGGGGAGTTGTCTGTGGAGGCAGCCTGGCCTGGCACCCACACCAGCCCTGACGAATGCTTCATCCCTGTGTGAATGCTCTGGCCCGGGCCCTTGTGCCTGGACTGGGCCTGAGCAGGTGCCTCAGAGTCCTTGCTAGCTCCCTAGCTGATCATGAGGACCCCAGGGTCTGGAGAGCAAAACTTTGTGGCTGGAGCCTTGGGGTAACAGGTGTCCCCAGGCATCTCAGATGGGATCTTCCTGGGCCCATGAGAGTTCACAGTGGGGGCAAGGGTGGGCCCCTCATGTGCTCCTTCCTCTTTCTCAGCCCCACAGGCTTCTCTGACTTCCATCTTCCTCAGAAACCTCAGGGGATCACACGATGGCAGCAGCCAGGCTCCTGCCACCACCAGCAGGACCCCAGGTGAGCTGCCTGCAGGGCCTTTGCTGCACCCCTGCATTTCCTCACAGCCTTCCCATGCCCAAGGCTCCAGGTGGCAGCCTGAGTGTCACTGTATCTCCTGAACAGTGTGGCCCCTTCCTGAACCCTCCCATCTGCTCGCATGTGTTTCCCCTCCCCCCTGACCCAGGACGTCTCCACTCCCCCCACCCACATTGCTTGTACCCATTCCATCTCAGACATGGAGACTCAATCCAACCTTCAGCAGCCCCTGTCATTGCAGGCCAAGGTGACCTTTGAAGATGTGGCTGTGCTCCTCTCCCAGGAGGAGTGGGACCGCCTGGGCCCTGCTCAGCGTGGCCTCTACCGACACGTGATGATGGAGACCTATGGCAACGTGGTATCACTGGGTATGGCCCCTCAGCAGGCCTCTTCTGTGTGTGTTTGGCCAAGGGTGGGGACCTGGGGTGGGGGCTTTGGGGGTTGCCTCCAGGTGTTCAGCTCTAGAGGGACATCACACCTGTCTGTCTCATGCCTATAGGCCACTCAGGTAGGGTATGGGTGTTCACAGATGTGTTGACAAAAGGCCTTCCCTCCCCATGAGCAGGACTCCCAGGATCGAAGCCCAATGTGATCTGTCAGCTGGAGCGAGGAGAAGAGCCTTGGGTCCTGGATGGGCAAGGGGCTGAGGAGACTAGGGGCCTGGGCGGTGGACATTCAGGTGAGTGAGAGGAGCTGGCCCTTCTTCACTAGGGCTGATCAGCTCCTGGCAGCTGTGCACACTGACAAGTGACAGACACAGGAGTAGGGCCACCTAGGGCCTCTTCAGGCAGAGCAGCCTGCGGTCTTAACTCTGTGAATTAACTTACCTGGAACAACCAGTGAACAGCAATGAAAGGAGTTCCTATTCTTTTTTTTTTTTTTTTTTAATGTTTATTTTTTAGAGAGAGAAAAACAGCATGAGCAGGGGAGGGACAGCGGGAGGGGGAGACACAGTATCCCAGCCCCAGGCTGGCTTCAGGCTCCAAGCTGTCTGTGCAGAGCCCAGTGTGGGGCTTAAACTCACAAGCTGTGAGATCATGACCTTAGCTGAAGTCATTTGCTTAACCGACTGAGCCCCCCAGGTACCCCAGGAGTGCCTATTCTTTTTAAAAAAAAAAAAATTTTTTTTTTTAATTTTTTAAACTTATTTCTGAGAGAGAGAGAAACAGCGTGAGCAGGGGAGGGTCAGAGAGAGAGGGAGACACAGAATTTGAAGCAGTCTCCAGGCTCTGAGCTAGCTGTCAGCACAGAGCCCAATGCAGGGTTCGAACCCACAAACCGTGAGATCATGACCTGAGCTGAAGTCAGACACTTAACCAGCTGAGCCACCCAGGTGCCCCCAGGAGTTCCTGTTCTTGAGAACTGTTTTGTTCTCTCTTAGCTCTCTTTTCCTTTTGCAGACGACTCCAAACGTGACCACATGACAGCTTGTAGGCAAGACAGTTCCCCTTGTCCATGGGGTAGGTATATGTCTCATCTTTTTAAGCCAGTACGATCCCTGAAAGTGTTAATGCTCATGACTCACCAGAATGTAGAGATTCCTGGGGTGCAGAACGTATGTTCTTGTTCACGGCACACTTAGTCTCTACAAAATCACGGGGAGGGGTGTTCTAAATTAAAAATTTGTTTCAGTGGAATTGTTTTTTTTCTTTGTCTTCTCACATGTAAAAAAACATTCTTCCCTAGTCTATACTTGAAAGAGCAGGTGAAGCTGTATTGTTCTGAAAGTGAGGGCTCTGCTCCTCCAACTTTGCTCATGCGTTGCTTTTATGCCACGAATGATTGAGTAACCTTCTGTACAGTTATTTTTTTGTTTATTAAAGTCATCTTGCTCATCTTGTTACTTCGGCATCAGGAAAGAAACTACCTATTTAGGAAGCTTCAAACAATAGAAGACAATTTTCTATTCAGTGCAAGTGGGTAATTATTTCTTTGCCTTACTAGCTTTACTCTATGAAGAAGAGGTTTTTTATTTTTAAGTCAAAAAAAACCCAATTAAACTGTGTGTTTTCCAGTTTAAAAAACATATAGTGTAACTTTTTAAAAATGAGATGTGTAAAAATTTTGTTAAATAGATGACCATAAACCCAGATTTTTTAAATGAAGAACCTATTAATGTTGCCATTTTTCAAAACAGTATATACACTTAATAATTACTCTGAAGAGGGTAAAAAAAGCAGAAATATCGAAAAAGAAACGTTGGCACAAAACTTGAACAAGTTCTGATAGAGGAGGAAAATCAAAGGGCTAATAAATGTGATGACATGCTCAGCCTAATTATTTATCAGGGAAATGGAAAATAAAACTGCCATGATATTCCATGTTAGGCCTTCAGGATCAAAAAAAAAGGAAAGACCTGACATTACCAACTTTGGTTTAGGATATTAAGCAGCTAATGAGGATGTAAATGTGCACATTCGCTTTGGAAACCACTGTGGCATCTAATGAAGTTGAAAATACAGATCTCTGTGTCAAGTGTTCCACTCTTGAATGTATAGTAAGGAATTTTGTGTGCAAACCCCAAGAAACATGTATAAGAATCTTCAAAGAAGCATGTTTCATGATAAAAAAAAAAATCTGGAAATGACCCAAATGTCCATCAGCAGTAGACTAGACAGATAAATAAGCTATTGTATTGTAATAAAACAGAATGTACTTTAGTGAAAGTTATTTAATAACTGCTATAGAACAATATGATGAATCAGGAACACAGTGTTGAGAGGGTAAAGCAAATTGCAGAAGACCAGGTAACACTAAATTCTAGAAATCTCAGAAATATGCCTAATTAAGTATTGGTTACAGATACAAACTTCTGATATAAAACTATTAAAAAATCCAGCCACAACAAGGGCTTCTACTTCAGCCAAGATGGAGTAAACAGAGATGGGAGTTACCTCTCACTTGAAACAACTGAAAAACTGGACAACATCTATGAAACCATGGCTATCAAGATGTTGGACATTATTCTCTCAGTGGAAATCAGTCAGTGAAGGAAAGTAATTCCCAAGAGACAGGAAACAAAGGGGTGATCCCTACAGTTGTCCCATCTCACCACTTGGAGAAGATCCCAGTGCAAGGAGGGGAAACCTGGCAGAGCCCAGTGGTCTCCCAGACTTGAGGACACACAGCCAAGAGTCCAGAGATGTCAGGGAGGCTAGAAGTCCCACGGAGGAGTCTGTTTGACAAAGAATTCTGGACACCTGCAGGAAGACTTCTTGAGTATTAGCACTAGCAAGGAAATTGTCCAAAGCCAGGAAACAGCGGCCTCTTTAGAAGGAGTAGAGGCTGTGGTAGCCAGGATTTAAGATGGTCCTCTCCCCCATTCATGTATTGGTGTTGGAGGCTTTATGGAGGTAATTAAGGTTAAGTGAGGTCATAGGGTCGGGCCTTGATTTGCTATGATTAGTGTCCTTAGAAGAGGAAAAGAGACCGAGCTCTTTCTCGGCACAGTACATGTCCTGCCTGCATAATCCTCAAGACTATGAATATGGGTTTTATTCTTGTGATTATGTTATATTAACCCTTTGCTTTTAAGGAATGGAGAACCCTTTAAATCGGGGTCTGGGGGTCAGACAACCAGGTTCAAAGAGTGGGAAGGATTTGATGCACCATTGCTGCCTTGAAGGTGGAGGGGGCCACATGGCAAGGAATGCAGGTAGCAGTCAGGAGCTGAGAGAAGCATGGGAACAGTCCTCTTAGTCCTGTAGCTGCAGGGGCTGAATTTTGACATAAGAATGAGCTTTGAAGTGTGTTTATTCCCTGAGCCTCCACACAGGTATTCACACTAACACTATTTTTCAGACAACCCATATGCAATTCTAGCTTACGGAACTATGGGCTGGTAAATACAGTGCCCAGTGCTCACACAAGGCTGGGAATACCATCCGTTCCCAACAGCAAGAGTGGGAAACTTGTAACTAGTCGGGGGAAAGAGCCCTAAGCACTATTCTGGTCTGGTCTAACAAAGGTCAAAGGCAAGAACCGTACATGCCTCTTCCAAGTAACTTAACCAAGAATACTTAAGCTCAAGAATATTTCTAGAAATAAAAAATACACAGCATGAAGCAAAGTAAAATTCATATCTGGCATTAATAAAAAATTACCAGACATACAAAGAAAGAAGTAAGAAAATACAACCATAATTAGAAGAAAAAACAGTCTTGTTAAACTGACCAGAAGTGACAACAGCAGTGATAGAATTGGAAAACCAGGAGGGGTCCCTCGGTGGCTCAGTCAGTTAGGCATCTGACTTCAGCTCAGGGCATGATCCCATGGCTAGTGAGTTCAAGGCCCGCATCGGGCTCTGCTGACAGCTCAGAGCCTGGAGCCTGCTTCAGATTCTCTCTCTCTCTCTCTCTCTCTCTCTCTCTCTCTCTCTGTCTCTGTCTCTGCCCCTCCTCTGCACATGGTTTGTCTCTCTCAAAAATAAGTAAACGTTAAAAAAACTTTTAAAGAATTGGAAGACCAGGATATTAAAACAAAAATTTATTCCATATGTTCAAGGACTAGGGGGAATTTTGAGCATATTAATTAGAGGCATGGAAGATACATGAAAGGCCCATTTCCAATCTCTAGAGATGAAAACAACAATGCAAGAGATAAAGAGTTCACTGGGTAAAATAGTGGCAGATTAGATATTGCATATGAAAGGATTAGTGACAACAAAATCCTAGAAACTACTGAAAAGGAAAAGGAAGGGGAAAAAAGACTACAGGACATTAGAACTATGGATAATCTTAAAGAGGCCGATATATATAACTGAAGCCAGCAAAGCAGGAGTGAGAGGGTCAGAAAAAATATTCTAAGAAATGATGTTTGAAATTTTTCCCAATGTGACGAAAACTATAAACTCACAGATCTAAGAAACTTAGTGAGCCCCTTACTTAATAAACTTGAATACAATCACACTAAGCTATATCATAATCAAAAGAAGTATTAAAACTAAGAAGCAGACAAAGGAGATAAAATAGAATCATGAGAAGTAACTTAATTTTTTTTTAATGTTTATTTATTTTTGAGAGAGCATGAGTAGGGGAGGGTCAGAGAGAGAGGGAGATACAGAATCCGAAGCAGTCTCCAAGCCCGACACGGGGCTCAAACCCACGAACCGTGAAATCATGACCTGAGCCGAAGTTGGATGCTTAACCCACTGAGCCACCCAGGTGCCCTACAAGTAACTTAATTTTTTTAAAAAAGAGAAGAGGAAGAGGCAACAAAGAACAGAGATGGTTAGTGGCTACTCTAGGGTTGACCTATGTATCTCTAACCACGGTGTGCCTGCAAACAGTGCTAACGCCATTTCACATGTGTTCAAAGACTGTTAGAGAAGCATGATTGTTCATTGGTCCATTCAGGCTGCCATAAACTTGCCATGCCATGGGCTGAGTGACTTAAACATGAAAAATTTCGTTCTCACAGGTCCCAAGGCTGGAGGTCCAAGACAAAAGTGAGAGTTTGGTGCGGGTTCTATTCCTGGCTTGCAGATGGCCTCTGTGTGCCTATGGGGGAAAGTGAGTAAGCTCACTGAGGTCTCTTAGAAGGCACTACTGTGATCGTGGAGGCCACACCCTCATGACCTCATCTAACCCTAATTACCTCCCAAAGTCCCCACCACCAAATACATATGAGTTTGCAGGGAGGGACACAAACATTTGCTTCATTACAGCATCCTTGTTCTTCTGTCCCAGATTCTATGACAGTGTTGTCATAAGGTCTACTCTTGAATATGCTATAAAGGAACGGTGCATAACTATTTTCAGGTTTATTTAAGTAGTCTCTACACCCAACATGGGGCTTGAACTCATGACCCTGAGATTAAGAGTCCCATGCTCCTCCAACCGAGCCAGCCAGGTGCTCTAGTGAAGAACCATTTTTGCTTTGGACAGCTCTCTTAGAGTGATTAAAAAAACCTTTTTTTTTTTTTTTTTTTTTTTTTTTTTTTTTTATTTCTAGGAGAGAGATAGAGACAGCGTGAGCAGGGGAGGGTCAGAGAGAGAGGGAGTCACAGACCGAAACAGGCTCCAGGCTCTGAGCTGGCAGTCAGCACAGCCCGACGTGGGGCTCGAACCCACGAACCGCGAGATCATGACCCAAGCGAAAGTCGGACGCTTAACCGACTAAGCCACCCAGGCGCCCCAAAAAAACCTTTTTACATAGTCTTATATTTACCTTCATTTTAACCATTTCCAAAAGTTCATTTTCTTGTATAAATCCCACTGTTTGTAAACTATATTTCTGCAGCCTAAAGAATTCCCTTTAACATTAGTTTGGATTTGATTGTTGGGTGTTCTCTCCACTGGTGTTTGTAAATTGACTTATTTTTTCTTTTTCTGCACTTTAAGGGTGTCAGTTCATTGTATTCTGACTTGTTTCTGATGAGTCTGCAATCTGTTATGTGTTTTTCCTCTACCTCTAAGATTTTATTTTCTCTTTGGTTTTTGGCAGTTTGAATACGATTTATCTAGTCGGGTTTTTTCCTTTTTTTTTTTTTTTTAAATGCTTATTTTTGAGAGAGAGAGGGCATAAGCAGGGGACGGGCAGAGAGAGAGGGAAACACAGAATCCCAAGCAGGCTACAGGCTCTGAGTTATCAGCACAGAGCCCGATGTGGGGCTTGAACTCATGGACCTGTGAGATCATGACCTGAACCTAAATCGGATGCTCACCTGGGACACTTCTTAGGTGCCCCTCTAGTTGGTATTTTGAAAACATGTTTGTGGGGCTCCTGTGTGGCAGTTTGTTGAGCATTCCACTCATCATTTCAGCTCAGGTCATGATCCCACGGTTATGGAATTGAGCCCCACGTCAGCATGGAGCCTGCTTAAGACTCTTTTTTCTCTCTTTCCCCCTCCTCCTGTTCCTCACCCACACTCACACACACACTCTCTCAAATATTACAGCAAAACATGTATGACTCTAATATCTATGTTTTGATGTCTTCCATTTTTAGAAAAATCTCAGCCATTATCTTTTCAGATATTTTTACTTCCCAGTTCTCTTTCTCTTCTGCAATTCCAACTACATGCAGTTAGGCCATTTGATATTGATCCATATCAGATTTATTTTTGTTTCATACATTTTTGCCTTTGTGTTTCTTTTTGGGTAATTTTTGTTGACCTATTTTCAAGTTCACTGGTATTTTCCTCAGTTGGGTTGAGTCTGCGATGAGCCTCTCAGAGCCATTCTTATGTTGCTATATTTTCTACATCGAGCATTTCAGTCACAGAATCTATCTGCTGAGGTTCCCCGTCTGATCATTCATATTGTTCAACATACGGGTTATCTCTAATTCTGATTCTGTGAGTCACTTAGTCTCTTGACTGTGTGTGCATGTACACATAGTCTTTCCTTTCTCTTGGGTGTCTTATAATTTTTTATTGAATGTCAGCTATCATTAAATAAAACAGTAGAGGGGCGCCTGGGTGGCTTAGTCGGTTAAGCGTCCGACTTTCGCTTAGGTCATGATCTCGCGGTTCGTGGGTTCGAGCCCCGCGTCGGGCTCTGTGCTGACTGCCAGCTCAGAGCTTGGAGCCTATTTCAGAGTCTGTATCTCCCTCTCTCTCTGACTCTCCCCTGCTCACGCTGTCTCTCTCTCTCTCCTAGAAATAAATAAAAATATTTAAAAAAAAAATGTTTAAATAAAACAGTAGAAATAGAGGTAAGTAGTATATCTGTCTGGGAACGTAGCCCCTCCTAGTAGGTGGTTAGCGTGCAAGCCCGAATCAGGAGTTTGGCTGGGTTCTGTTCCCATAGTTGCCTTCAGTGCACCACTGGATTCATATTCCTCTGGCACCTCTTAGTGCACAGGGTGGGGACTTTCAGGCTTCCAGGTGTGCCTGCAAGAGCAGCTTTTCCTTTGTGCTCTGGCCACCAGCACCCCCCACCCCCAGCAGTAGTCTTCTGTTGCTTGTTGTTACTCAGTGCTTGCTGGCCTTTTAGGCAGGGGAGAAAGAAATGACAGAGTGCTCCACTGTCCTGATCCATCCCCAGTTTCAGGCAGGTCTTGCATTCTTGGTTCGCAGCCCTTCCACTAGTCGAAATAGACTTCTCGCTGTCTGGGCTCGTGATCATTTTCCTGCCTCTCCCTCAGAAGTAGAGGGTAGTTTTCTTTTCCCTTCCTAGCCATTGTGATTTTTACCTGCCCTAGAATGAGAAGTTTACTTTCCTTTGCCCAGTGACTTGCAGCTCTTGTTCTGTAGAGAAGGGTCAGGTGGGTGCTTGTGCTCTCCTCTTGCAGTCCTGAGCCACCAAAGGAGGCTTCCTCTGGACCTGTCCCTAGGGGGAAAGACCATAGACATGAGCCCTGTGTCGATGTGAAGAAGTCCGAGTGCTGCTGAATCTTGGGGTGGGTGTGGAGAGCAGGTTAATCAAGCCTGGAGTGGGACCCCCACCTCTACAAGGCCTCACACAGGAGTCTCCCAACTTCCCACTCCTGCCTCTTCTCATGTTGACCCTCTGTGGAGGGCTTGCTTCAGTCTGCCTGCTGCCAACTTTTTTTTTTTTTTTTTTTTTTTTTTTTTTTTTAGGAGAGAGAGAGAGACAGCATGAGCAGGGGAGGGTCAGAGAGAGAGGGAGTCACAGACTGAAACAGGCTCCAGGCTCTGAGCTAGCTGTCAGCACAGAGCCCGACGCAGGGCTCGAACCCACGAACCGCGAGATCATGACCTAAGCGAAAGTCGGACGCTTAACCGATTAAGCCACCCAGGCGCCCCTTCCTGCTGCCAACTTCTACAAGTATTAGCATTTGATGTGTCTTTGTCCCTCCTAGGTAACCATTCCTTGTCAGTCAAAAGGCAACATAGATCAAAACAAGCATCTTTTATTTACTTTGTTTGTTTTGAGAGAGAGGCAGCATGAGCAAGGAAGGGGCAGAGGAAGAGGGAGACGGAATCTTAAGCAGGCTCCATGCCCAGTGCAGAGCCTGACATGGGGCTTGATCTCATGACCATGAGATAGTGACCTGAGCCAAAATCAAGAGTTCAACCCTTAACCAACTGAGCCACCCAGGTGCCGCAAGCATATTTAACTTATTGACCAACTTGGCCCAAATCTTTTTCTAAATATCAGTCAGAAGTCATCTTAGAAGATCCCTTGGCTTTGTGTAGGGACCACTCGGCTTGGGGTGCCAGGTGACCCGCTGTATAGCATATGTCTTTCCAGACCAAGTTATGAACTAATTAAAAAGTGAAGCTCAGGGGTGCCTGGGTGGCTCAGTTGAGCGTCCGGTTTCAGCTCAGGTCTTGATCTCACGGTTCATGGGTTTGAGCCCCATGTCAGGCTCTGTGCTGACAGCTCAGAGCCTGGAACCTGTTTCAGATTCTGTGTCACCCTCTCTCTCTACCCCTCCCCCACTCATGCTCTGTCTCTAAATAAACTATAAAAAAAAGATTTTTTAAAAAAGTGAAGTTCATATCTCAATAATGCTGTTACCAGCAAGGTGGGGGGCTCATTGGACTTGAAAATATCCTTATTACAGACAGCACATAATTGGAAAATGACTGGTTGCTTGTCCACATCATTTCTGATAAAGAACCCCAAATGCAACATACCTGTCACCAGATTGAGGTAGGGAAAGACTTCAACAGGTTTCTGTCTTGAGACTGCCTCTGTTAAGTCTTTGAACATGAAGGAACAGAGCAGAATGTGGTTCCCTAAGCTGAAAATACCCAGTTCTTACCCACATGAACCAGTGAAAAAGTTATTCCACCTCCCCTGGAGAGAAGGGAGAGCAAAGAAGCAGTTCATATGCATGCTTGGATGCTGTCCTCGCTCAGGATCTGTGGGTGTGGCTGGGTTAGTGTTTGTGAAATTCCCCTCAAGGCTGCTGGCCGCCCAGTACCTGTCCTAGACCTTGAGTACACCTTTGGGAGAGTGAAAATTCCCTCAGATCTTCCTCTGCCCAGAGGGATTCTCACTCTGAAACTCCACTCGAGTGCAACACAGATTTTAATGCTGTTTCTGGCAAAGGCCTTTGGGAAGCTGGAGATGGCAGCATGGGGCCAGGAGCTGGCCATCTAAGCTGCAGCACTGAAATTGGATTGAGCACTTGAGAGTTCATAAGGAGGCCTGGCTGCTCATGCAGAGTTACCTCTTGCTTCTGGCCCTGATATGGGCCTGACACCCTGTAGAGTGTCCTTGGTGACGATCACTCCATGAGCACGGCCCATCCTCCCACAACATCCCAGTACACCTCCGAGAAGTTTTGTCTTCAAGTGGCATCTTGTCATCTCAATGGCTTGGTTTCCAAGATTTAAGATGCTTGTTCTCGGGCACCTGGCTGGCTCAGTAGAGCATGCAGCCCTTGATCTTGGGGTAGTGAGTTCAAGCCCCACATTGGGCATAGAGCTTGTGAAAGAAAAGAAAAAATTATCAGTACATCCTGTTCTCCCACATTCACACAGCCTGTAGAGCCCCTAACTTGATACTAAAAATCTCGTGCAGTGCTCACTGCTGCCTTACAGGACTCCTCTCCAGACTAGACGTGCCAAGACTCCCATCACGTTTCTGTCTCATCTCGCCTCGCAGTGCGTTCTCCACAAAGAGGAGGCCACAATTCGCCATGTACAAGTCTTAAGGTCCTGTGTTGGACATGCACACGAGAGTTAACACATCTGCCAGCCTGATACTAGGCTTTGCTATTCCTGTGTTGCTGTCAGCCCCACAAGGTTTCCTGCAGTTACAGGTGGGGTCCCACATTTATTCCTGCTACAAATGGTCCCTGGAAGCTCTGTACGCAAGGACTCCAGGGAGGGTGGGACTCAAGTGGTAATGGACTGCAACCCTGCTGTGTGCCATGTGTACGCTTTGCGCAGGGGGATGGCTCAAGACCACAGGTCACACCTGCCCCTTAAACTGCCCTGTCCGCACATTTCTAGGTATCAGGCACAGTTGTGGTTTTTCTGCTCTGCAGCATGCAGCCATGTGCATTCAGGGGCCACTGCCCTGACGGCCGCCTCTCGTCAGCCAAACACTCCTCCAGGCTGCACTTGCTCTGCTGTTTTGAATAGGTTAACATTTTTACTTTGAATTTGTTGTTTCAGAATATGAAAACAAGGGAGAAAACCAAAATAGAGATGTGAGTCGGAAGCCATTTATTTCAGAGGAAATACCAGTGATTCTGGAGAAAGCACCCACAGGATGGTCTGATCAAAGAAGTTACGAACCTGAGCAGAGTTTCTGTGTGAGTCCCAGCCCCAGTGGCCCACCTGAAGCTCAGGTCTCAAGCCAGAGTGTGCCTCTCTCGCAGAATCAGGCTGTTCCTAGTGGGGAGAGGCCCTACAAGTGCACGGAGTGTGGGAAATGCTTCGGTCGGAGCTCCCATCTCCTCCAGCATCAGAGAACACACACCGGAGAGAAGCCCTATGTGTGCGGTGTGTGCGGGAAGGCCTTCAGCCAGAGCTCTGTCCTCAGTAAACATAGGAGAATCCACACCGGCGAGAAGCCCTACGAGTGTAATGAATGTGGAAAGGCCTTTCGAGTGAGCTCGGATCTTGCTCAGCACCACAAGATACACACGGGTGAGAAGCCGCATGAGTGTCTTGAGTGTCGGAAGTCATTCACTCAGCTCTCGCATCTTATTCAACACCAGAGGATCCACACAGGAGAGAGGCCCTATGTGTGCCCGCTCTGCGGGAAGGCATTCAACCACAGCACCGTCCTGCGCAGCCACCAGCGGGTGCACACCGGGGAGAAGCCGCACGAGTGTGCACAGTGCGGCCGCGCCTTCAGTGTCAAGAGGACTCTCCTCCAGCACCAGCGGGTGCACACCGGGGAGAAGCCCTACGTGTGCGGTGAGTGCGGACACGCCTTCAGCGCCCGGAGGTCCCTGGTCCAGCACGAGAGAATCCACACCGGCGAGAGGCCCTTCCGCTGCGCGCAGTGCGGCAAGGCCTTCAGCCTAAAAGCGACACTGATCGTGCACCTGCGGACCCACACCGGGGAGCGGCCCTACGAGTGCAGCCGCTGCGGCAAGGCCTTCAGCCAGTACTCCGTGCTCATCCAGCACCAGAGGATCCACACGGGCGAGAGGCCCTACGAGTGCGGGGAGTGCGGGCGCGCCTTCAACCAGCACGGGCACCTGATCCAGCACCAGAAGGTGCACAGGAAGCTGTGACCCCCGCTGCCCCTGGAGAAGCGACCCACACCCCACACACACACCACGAGCGCCGGGAGAAGGTTTCGGTAGCTCTGCGGGATGCCATTCTCTGGTAATTTCGTGTCACAAGGAATTCCAAAAGGAAGCACTGAGCGTGTTTCTGTGGAAGGACGTCAGAGCATGCCTGTTTTGTTCTTCTCCACATCTTGAAATTACATTGAAGAGTAAATCACACAGCTATAGTAAATTTTGGTAAAGACGTTCATAATTCTTTAATATTAGAAAGCTTATTGGAAGTAAGAAACTGAAGGAAGTGAAGACATAAGGATTATTGTCACAATAAAACTTCTTACATTCTAAATAAAGATTTTTCTTGGAATATTACATGCCTTTCCTAAAAACAATATTCTAATTATTCCCCCTAAAATTGGAGTTATGTGCAGTATTCTATTAAAACACTAAAGTATTGTGTGGATAAAATGATATAAAAAAAATCACACTCATGTGATATGGCTAGAAATCCTAAGTGTGTGGAACCACTTGTTTTGTATGAAAAAAGGAAAAAGTCTAAATATTAATTAGTGAGAAAACACTTCATCTGGTATTTGAACTTTATTCAAGATCAGAAGGGATGTTCTGACTTTTTAGTGAAAACTCAACTCAAAAGTTGATGTTTGCCTCAAAAACCATGCTTACGACTTACAGACCTTGTGCTCCGGAACTCAGGGGATGTCTTGGGTCTCTGGAGCCCATGTGGGTAGGAAGGGAGCTTTGCACTCAGAGGCCAGACCTCATAGCTGCTACACCAACTGGGTGCCTCTTTACACATTGTGGTGTTTCCCAAAAAAATGTTACTCAACAGACAGCTCTTTGATACATATTTTTAAACCTAAAATTCTCAAATTCAGATAGTTTTTATGATCTGAAATTTTCATTCCTATGTTTGAGGTTTTTATTTTTTCACATTCCAAGAAGAGTGTGGTATCCATTATCATATACTGTAATGAATCTAGCTTATTTATAATTTTTAAGTTTTTTCTCTCTCTCTTGAACACAAGCTTCTCAGGAGAAATGAAGGACTAGAGTGCTGACGCTTGATTGCACAGCAATACACTGATGCTGATAAAAGTTCGTTTTCCTCTTGCTGTGATACTGCTGAGAGGATACAACATTGCAGGTGAACCTCTGGAAGTGGAGGTAGCCGGTGTTACTTCAGCAAGGAGATTGCTGATTGAGTCCCTGGCAGGCATCTGACTCAATAGCTGCCCCTCAGAGCCCACCACTACTGGAGGCACAGTTCCTAATCATGTGGAAGAGTTAGAGTAAGAAATGGTCCTATTCCAGTCAAGATAACAGTTCAGTTAAATACAATGTATAGAAATACTTGTTTGGAAAGACACAATGTATCACAGGACAACATAAATTACACAGAGATGGTTCTGGATTGCTAAATCCAGCAAATAATCTAGGGCTTTCAGGGGAATCAAAGTGTATAGTTCACTTTTCTACCTTCTTAAATGAAGTGTACTTAATATCATTCTGCCTTTTCTTGCTATCAGCTGCCATTGACCCATTGGTGACTGTAAGGTTCAGGTGTCTATGCATCTGGGAGGTGGCTTCAGTGCCCTTCTCCCTAGGGAGGATCCCTGGGGCATGCATTTTTGCCACTCACCTTTCCAGGGACGGGGAGGTAACCTATAACCTGCTGGGACATATGGTCAGTCTGCCTTTTTTGGAAGTGGTATCAGGCACCAAAGTTACCTTTGGGGGTCCCTTCATCACCCTGTTAATTACCTTCTCAGCCATTACCTCCCACCTCTGACTGGTTAGTAGTAGTCCATACTTTGGATTTTTTTTTTTTAATTTTATTTAGAAGTCTTTCATTTTATGCATTTAAATTTTTATCTTATTTCTCCTTACTGCTACCAAGGATTTGACACTTAGTGGGGCGCCTGGATGGCTCAGTCAGTTAAGCGTCTGACTTTGGCTCAGGTCATGATCTCACAGTTTGTGGGTTCGAGCCCCGTGTCAGGCTTTGTGCTGACAGCTAGCTCAGAGCTTGGAGCCTGTTTCCAATTCTGTGTCTCCCTCTCTCTCTGACCCTCCTCTGCTCACACTGTCTCTCTCTATCTCTCCCTCTCTCTCTCAGAAATAAATAAAACATTTAAAAATAAAGAATTTGACACTTAGTTCTCAAGTTTTCTTAGAAAGCACCTGGAATTTTATTTTGTGTACTGTGTATAATCTGACATATTTTCCAATAAAAAAGAAATGACTAGAACACCTACTTGTGGGTGAAGAAAGACCAGTAACTTTGGCATAAGGATCTACAAGAAATCAGTGGCCAGAGGACATGAGCTGCCTATTCCCAGTAAGGGGAAATTCAATGAGGAAAGCCTGAAAAAAAGCTAAAGCATGCCAATTTCAAACAAAAATATGTCACCTCCTCCTGATCAATTAGTAAAGGTTATCCTGTAATGCAGAGCTGTGAAGGTATATTGAAATGGGTGTTTTCATGCAATGATGATGACATCAGCACAATCCACCTGGGTCACGTATGGGAGTATAATCACATGACCCATTACTTCTCTGCAGGAAGATGGACTGCACAGCAGGACCCAGCTTGGCAGAGGCCAGGCAGTCCAGAGGTGGCCCTAAGGGGGGAAGGAGCACTCCTGGAGGACATGCTGGGGAAGCTCAGGCCACCAAAGGCCACTCTGTGTAGAGGGGCTAGTGGTGAAGGCCCAGGAGGATCTCTCCTGGGAGTTGGGCTTGCCCCAGAGCAGAGGAAAAATCACATTGGTGGTGGGGACAGCACTACTCTGGCCCATCTGGGTGAGTTTGAGGAACACAGGGTTTCATGCATAATAGTTCCTGATTTAAGAAATGCCGGTGAAGTACAGGGGTCCCCAAGACTGCCCACCCCTCTGACACCAATCACAAATTTGGGGATTCTCGAGATCACCCTTAAGTTCAATAATTTGCTACAAGGACTCCTGGAACTCACCTTGAAACCTGATATACACATGGTTACAGTGTATTACAAGTGGGAGACACAGATTAAATCCAGACAAGGGAATGCACACGGATAGAGTTCAGGAAAAGTACCAAATGTGGAGCTTCTGCAAAGTCACGGACAGCATTATTTTCCTGGCACCGATATCTGACAATGTGCATTGGGTATTACCAAGAAGGGAAGCTCACCTGAGCCTTAGCACTGAGAGTTTTTTACTGGGGCTTGGTGACGCTGACATAGGTGGCCACCTGCATGAAGACCTCAATCTCCAGAGATTGAGTAGATGCCACATGGCCAAAAGCACCCACCATAAACCATACTATTACTGTAGACTATGTGGCTCTGAGTAAACAAAGACACTCAGGGAGGACACTAGCCACTCAGAAGCCTAAGGCAAAGGCCACCCCTCCCCCGGTGTCAGGTTAATCCTTTCTGCACAAGTGGGTCTGATCCCAGGCCTACCTCCATCTGCTCTATAATCCTGATCCAATCACATCCCTTCCTTAGCCTTGGCTTCTGATCTGTAGATGAGAATATCACCAGCCACATCACAGGGCTACCTTGAAAATTACATGAAATCTACAGGAAGACCAGCCTAGCACCCAGTTCTTTGTAGTCTATACTGGGAGTTAGTACAACTCTGAATAGGTGCAGCTACCACGGGAGGCAGGGGGCCAGAGAGCAACAGGCTAGGGGAGCTGCTCACCCACCACAAGGAGACAGAAATGCTCCCCAACCCTAAGTAATCTTGGAGAAGCTCAGCCCAGGGCCATGCAATGCATGCAGGAAACTAGCTCAGGCAGGGCAGGGCCCAGCTGGTGCCGAGCAAGGACTCATTCCCTCCTCAGCATGAAAAACAACACAGCCACCTCCAGCAGGGATTCACAGACAGCCTAGAGGCCACTAACCTCAGGGAGCACCTACAGACTGTCCCAGCCCTTGAGGACAGGGGTGAGAGGGCCCAGATCCAGCTCTCAGTGACCCTCTGGCTCAGATCTGATGCCTCGCCTAAATCCTTCTGACTTACGGGTTATGTGCAGGGCCACCCATGGGCACCACACATACACACTGTGAGCGTGACCTTACCCAGACTGACCATGACCTTTGGGTTAGATGCTGTTACCTATTTTACCTGGGGTTAATGACTCAAGGCTCTCCTAACAGGCCAGAGTCCTCTGCTGTCTGATCCTCTGACACCAGTAGTTCATCTCCTGACTCACTGGTAACTGCCCAGAGCTACTAACAATTAGTCATAATCACCCTGTGGTCTGAGATGACATCACTCCCAAAGGCCCTCTGCCATCAGCAGGCTGACAAGTTGGTTTCTGATCTTGTGAGCTGAGGAGGCAATAGGCGATAACCCACCAGACACCTAGGTGTGACTGTCCAAATGGCCCAGTGGAAACATCCAGAACCTTTTGCCTGCATGAGTCCCTTTGCCTGCAGTCTCTCCCATTCTTAGATGGGCCTGACACTTCGCCCCTGTGAAAGTGTGTCACCAATTCATGTTGCCAGCCCTCTTAAGCCAAAACCAAAGAGCCAAGAAAATGTCAAATCAAATGTTCTCCAGTTTTGCACAATGAAAACCACCAGCATCTTTTTTCCCCCAGGCATTTCCGTTAAATATGCTTCTTCAGACTACACTGCCCCACCACACCTCCTTGCCCCACTAGCCCTCCCACCCAGAGCTTTAATGCTCCTTTCCAGGCCACAATCCCTTAGGGGTGACACTGGCTTAAGGGACATGGATGCTGACAGGAGGAAGGACCCCCAGAGCAGGGGTTCTTAACAAACAACCAATAAGAAAACATCTGGACAGGGGTGCCTGGGTGATTCAGTCGGTTAAACGTCCGACTTCAGCTCAGGTCATGATCTCACGGTTCGTGGGTTCGAGCCCCGCATTGGGCTTTGTGCTGACAGCTTAGAGCCTGGAACCTGTTTCGGATTCTGTGTCTCCCTCTCTCTCTGACCCTCCCCTGCTCATGCTGTCTCTATTTCTCTCTCAAAAATAAATAGTAAAGGAAAAGAAAAGAAAAGAAAAGAAAAGAAAAGAAAAGAAAAGAAAAGAAAAGAAAAGAAAAGAAAAGAAAAGAAAAGAAAAAAAGAAAACATCTGGGCCATAAGCAGTGACAGGGCAGATGTGAAAGGAGAGATGGTTTCTATTAAAACCAACACAGAGAAATACAGATTTCCTGAGTAATCAGACAGTCAAATGCAGCAACAGCTAAAGCCATGCCTATTTAATTAGCAAGCAGAGGTTAAATTTACAACATCCAGTTCTGGTGGGGGACGGGGGGGGAGGCGGTGTTGTGTGGAACTCAGACTGTGCTCTACTCGACTTTACATCCTGGTATGGAAGGTAAGTGTT